CCTCTCGTTTTGCAACGACGCCGCGGGTCCTTGCGAGACAACGTTTACGTTACCGTCGGGGATATATCGCCGTTAGTATCTTCTATAGAGTATAAAAGTAGATATGGAGAGAGAAAATTGTAGAAAAGTACAAAAAAGTTTTCCCCACTTTTTAAGTTAATAGACGGAATCGTGAGAGTCGCTCCCCCGTTGTCTCGCTGATCGTCAACTCGTGATTCGAGTATTTTTATGTGTAAATATTTCTCTTGATTCTTCCACAGTGCGTATAGAGCTGTGACTTGCGGTATAAAAGGGGGAGGAGAAAGAGTGGAAAAAGAATCGAATATTGTACCTAATCTCTATCTTCACGGGTAGACCGATCTTTTTGGAGCATAGTTATTTATTCTACGAATTATACAATTTGCCGACGATATCGCCGACGGATGCGTTTGTCGGCGATCGTCACTGTCATACGTATATAATCTCTTGTTGCACTCTTATTTATTGATTCACGTTTTTTCTATTTGAGCTATTGCACTATTGATAATTATGACGATTGACAAGTTGCCGTTAATGTTTTTTACACTTGGTAGTTGAACTTCTGTTAGAATTACGCTTCTACGATCTAGTAAGGGAAACACATTCCACTCCGCATGTGGTGCAAACTAATTAAGTTCTTACCCTAAGGTATTTTTAAGCATAAAATTCTCGCTTATTTTTATAACTATTTATTTTCGGAATAACTCTAAGTATCTAGATTTGTAAGATTTCTCTATTTTACTGTTTGTCGATAGAGGCGGAATGAACGTCCGACAGTTCATCATCCTTGATCTTTGAATCTGAATCATCTGAGTGGCAGATGATATTTTACTGCAAAATAGAATAGGAGCGCGCTTTAGTATCATTGTATTATAAATCGTGTATCGTTTGATCATCGATCATGCATAATCTCTCTTCCGTCTTAATATAAGAATGCGTTTACTCTTGTCCGGTGATGAGACTCGAGAACTGTCCGTGGCGCCTTCATTCATGCGCTCTAGAGATTCGTATTCGTTTTGTCTCATCTTTTTAATCCGTCGCGAAGAAAAAAAAACAGAATGGCGACCCTTACGATCGCACTTGCATTGTGACTATGATCATGTTTAGTTAATCGTCGACCCACGCGTAAAACCGGTAGTCACGCTTCTCCACTATTAATCGCCTTCAATCAGACGCGGCTCTACGATCCACATCCTACGATTTTTAATTAATACTCTCCCAATTTTTCGCAGGTGATCGATACCCGTCGCCTGTCTGTAGTACGTAAAACTCGCTGCATGCCGGACGCATGCCGGGATTCTTTGATGATGTTTAAAGCGGATTGTTGTAAAGTATGTTGTTGACAGGAATGAAAATATAATGTCCGAGCTGATCGACGATAACTTAATAATGAAGGGCGCTATCTTACTGTGATGCTGAATATATATACTATATTATATTATATTATATTATATATATAAAACAAAGTATATATATATATATAAATATAATTATACGATTTAATAACCGTAGTTGATAATGAGCGACGCGATACGATCCCGTGAACGCCGTGTTGCGACTATAAAATTAATTAAACGACAGTAGTATTAACTTTAATCAAGGAACATGAAATACCGATATCGCAATGACAGTCCGTCGTCTGTGGCGCGCGCGTATCAAAATTCACGCAAGATTCTTCTGCGGAAAGAACGATGTTGTACATCATTTTCTCTCGTTAAATTTCCGTTATCGCTACTCTATTTTTTCTTGATATGAATTTAGTATTGCTGTTAGCGTTATCTTCTTTTCATGCGTACCGTCGTGTGGCTCTCTTGACGTTCACCGAGACTGAGTTTCACCGACATTCTGATCTGCCTGACTCTGAGCAGTGATTTCTTATAAAAAAAAAGGATCTGAAATGCAAATCGCATAATCATAATCATTATTAATCACCCTTAAGGATATTTGCAAGCGGCAGCTCTCTCTCGAGACTTATTAAAGCAATCATCTTTTTGATTACTATATATTTGTATAGTCTCATGTACATATGTATCTTTTGTAATATATTCTACATTACCCATGTATAGCTTGCATGTACAATCACTGCTCCGAATTAGCTGCAACCAACGTCGGTGCGACCGGCTCTGAAATAAAGGAGAGCAAAGATTGCGCGCGTTATATGACTCTCCAGAAATAAGTACGAGCTCTCATGGTCGAAATTCGGTACATTCGCAATACAATTCTTTTTTCTCACACACGCACACATATACACAAACACTGTACAACACATACTCCCCCCCCCCCCCCCTATTCAGTATTCTTTCCTCGTCCACGATTACGGAGCGTTTTAAAGACTACAGGGATTATAATGTGCATAATGGTAGCGATAGTAAGTGAAGATATGGTGCATCAGAACAGTATTTTTGTATTTAATGGAGGATGTGCCCTCCGATCGATGTATTATCGGTGATGTTTGCGAGCGTAGGAAAGCAGAATGAAAATGATTGCCGGGACGGCGGCCACGTTAATTGGCTTATCGTAAAGCATCAATACATTTTCCGTAGACTTTCGTCGGTGAGTGCGATCGTGTGTGCAATCATCGATCAGGCAAATCTTGCGTGAGACGAATGGCGACTTTTGAGAAACTTCGAAAAATGATAATAACGAAACTGACGATATCGTCGCGTGAGATTCATCAAGCCTCTTTGCCAGTCATGTTCTCTCGCCTTCGTTCGCAAACGATTGCTCGGAATTATGACACTTGCGCAAAGGATGTCTCACCCTTGCCCCGAGTTTCGACGTGTTCTTTGATGAGTTTGAAATGGATCTTTATTAGCGAAACTAGCAATACTGTGAGAAATTCCATTTACAATTAATCGAGTAATTCAGGTCTCTCGGGAATTTTATCTTATACTTCCCATAAAATCGCTTCGAAGAAAATACATTTCAAATTCGTCGATATAACATCTCATTATTATAAATAGATTTGGAGTAAAGGTGGGATATCTTGTAGAATGTGTGTGAGAAATTGTACACGGTAGATGGTAGAATCTCCGTCTTTTTATCTGTGCCCATTTTACTTCCAATTCCGTATTTTACCCTAAGTAAGAAAGTAGTACTCGCCATACACTTCTCTCTTTTTTCTCTTCTTTTTTTTTTTAAATACGACTACTCGAAGTTGCCTCGCTTTTTATCGTAAAGATAATTGATTGGGAAAGAACGATCGAGTTGCTTATAGCATCATTTTATATACGTCAGAGCATATTTTAACATATTAATTAGGCTTATAGTCAGTGAGATTTTTTATCGCAAAGGAAAAATATTCTAGGTACGATCGTATGACCGGTTTTTAATTATTGCAGATAAATATGCAGATGAATTTACAGTATACAGATGAATAAGTAAATTGTCAATAAAATCAACTGCGAATATATAAAATTTCGTATTTTAAAAAATGCTCTACATCTATATTTGTTTTTATGATTTTCTTAGTAAATGTTCAATGCATAGAATTTTATCTATCACGGTCTGGATTATACCTGGAAGTTTTTTGTGTCTCATTGTGAGAACCGTTGCTGTTGATCGAATTCATCCGGTATATTTATTTATCTTTATGTGCCATAAAGCCTGCTTGCTGAACGTGCATGATTCATGCTGCATACTGTGACGACACGTGTTAGCCACGCTGTTAGTTTCCTTATGAATGCTTCATAGGACTGATCAATCTTTTCATCATGCGCAACTCATTCCGCTTGTTTCCATCATTTCCTTGACACTGAAGCGTATTCATACTGAGCCTCTAATCCGAAAGGAGATCTTAAATGCGAGTCTAGTTTAACTTATATGATTAGTAGAAGCCCCATTGTTCGCATTGCTTTTCATAGAATCGGGCACTTCGGGCTTGTACGACATGACGAAGCTCTTGAGACAGAAAATACAAACATCCGAAGAATGTTACAAAGATGCTCCAGATCCTTGTAAACGTCTTTCAAACATTCCTCGGATTTTGCATTGTCGTTCCTATGCCAGGTTCAATCAGCAAGAGAATACTATTGGAAATCTCAAACTCGCTTTCTTGCCGGAACGACAATCTCATTTGCTCGAGTCGTCGTGCTTTATTAATTTCCATGACAGACGGACGATGCGATACTTCGCCAATTAAAGAGCTCTTGCAACGAATGACACATTACGAATCTGAACTCTCGTGCAGATGACTGTGTGAAGGTTTCATTAAAATAGTTCTTTGACACTAACTTTGAGATTTATTCGCGCGAACGATATTTCATCCAGAACTTCGTAATGGAGATGTACTTCCACGTGAGGGCGTGTTAATTAGAGGTATATAGGAAAAAAAAGCGCTATTAGAGTAAAACTAAGTCCGAATGTTTAAACATCTCTACGACTAATTACACTTGCTAAGCATAACTTCTCATGTACTTAAGCGAACAAAACCGAAGAGGAGCCTCGGTGACGTAAGCGTTACACGCAGAGCTGCGTGAAATATTACTTCACAGTGTTTCGATTATAGGCAGTCAAATATTCTCTCGCATAATCACTTTCCTCTCAGAAAGCGCAGTAATCGGGGCGTTCCTCGGACGCCAATATACATAGATCTAGAGATTAGAAACGAGCTAATTATCGATACACACACATTTAACGCATAAATAATAGACAGTGAGATATGGAGAATGGACGTGACGCTCGCAAGAATGGAGTAATATTTTGCTTGTCTCTGATTACATCGATAACGATAATCGCGTCGAGATCGACGGTTCGGATTCAACCCGGACGTCGTGAACACGAGGAGAAAAAAGAACGAAGGAAGGAGAATATACTGCGCTATTCTTCCGCAATGCGATTAGAAGGATAGGCGTATCGCGACATAGCAACAGCCAGTAGTAAGCCGCCGGAATCGCGATGTCGCGCGGCAATAAAAAGCCGTAGCTTCTTTT